TAAGGTGCAATTTTTTCACCTTGTTCTTTCTTCAAAATACTTCTGATAGTACTATAATTCTTGGGTTCCATGGTAGATCTGATGTAAATAAATTTCATATTAACTATTTTTACATAGGAGTAGTTCTGTATATCATTTAAAGATAACAGATGGTATATTATAAAACTGTTAATTATGATCACATTACAAATGACTAAATTTTGATCCCTGAAATTCTTGGTAATACTAATGTTCACTTTGTCTGGTTTTGTTACAGCATGCCCCACATGAAAATTTCTAATTCTATCTAGTATGTCAGCAGATAAAATAAATCAAAAAGCTCTTCATAAACAGTTAGTTTGAAGCTTGAATTAACAAAAAAATGAAGAGTTTTTTTTTAAAATCTCATTCTAGATGGAGCTATGAGCTTTAAAAATTATCATTATTCTATGTTTGACCTCAATTTGTCCACCATAAATCTTACCAAAATTGCTAAATTTGGCTGGAATTAACTTTAATTCCATGTTATACACATCACGTGATGGAATATCAATTCAATTTTTTAACGCGTTTTTTTTGTTCAAAAAATCTAATTCTTTTTTGAAATTTACCAATTAATCATGCCTAAATTTACAAAGCAAAAAGCACATTTAAATAGATTTGCTTTAGACAAAAAAAATAATAGCACATCTGGTAATGAAAATCAATTAGAAATTAATTTAGAACAATTTTCACATGAAGAATCTGAGGAAAGTTGGTTTGAAGAAGGAATAGATAGAGAATTAGATGAAAATTCTGTAAAATATATTGTTATCCTCAATGAATCCATGAAAAATTACACCTCATCATCAAGACCTTTGTGATATATAGATAACTCTTCCAGAACTTATCGCCAGAAACAAAGTGAGGCTAAGAAAAATGCTGAAAAAAATGGTCAATTAATAACTGCATTTTTTGAAAAAAGTGGAGCAGATGTTAGTAGTGAAAATGAAAGTTCAGGAATTTATTGAAAATAATAATAAAGAAATGACAGAAATTGCAATTAGTGACTTAGAGAAGCAGCTTAAAAACAATGATTTTAGTAATGGATATAAATTACAACTTACAGCTGTGCTTCAATATTTAAAATTAGTTAAATTAGGTAAAAAAAAGTTAGAATCAAGCATATCTATTGCAAATCAATTAGATAGAGGTAAATACTTTGCTCACTGTATTTGAGAATGGGCAAAAATTGTCAAATAACGAGATCCTATTCTATTTTCAAATCATGGTTTGCATAGAAAACATCAAGTCTACTAGATGATGAAGACATTAAATTAAGAATAGCAGAATTTTTACATGAAAAAAATTTTAAATTTAATATTAATGATTTTATTAATCACCTTTCATCTGTTGTTTTTCCATGTGTTGGGGTTGAAAAAGAAACAAACATAAGGTGAGTTCTCATTAAATATATATAAATTAATTTGAACTGCAGTCAATATTTATTCATTCAATATTTCATTCATTAGCCATGAAATTGCATGCCAGTGGCTGTATAAAATGGGATTTTACTTCAAAATTTATAGCAAAGATGTCTATTATGATGGACATGAGCATGAAGATGACATTGAATATCGTAAAAAGTTCTTAGAAATAATGAAGGAGTATTTATGAATTATTATTATGCAAAATATTATTAAACTAAAATCAATCAATTAATTAATTATTATTTTTTAGATATGAAAGGTTAATGCCAAAATATATAGGAAATAATCTTGAAATTTGCATACTTCCAGATCTCAATGAAGGTGAAAAAATTCATATTTTTGTAACCCATGATGAGTCTACTTTTCATTCCAATGATGGTGCAAAATCTGGCTGGGGTCTTTCTAATCAGCAACCTTTATTGAAAAAAGGAGAAGGACGTGAATATCATGTTAGTGATTTTCTTTGTGAGTCAATTGGACTGTTAAAACTTTCACCAGAAGTTAAGGAAAGAATTAATGATGAAAAGTTTCCAACTGAAGCTTGTGTTTTTTTGTCAATTGGAAAACAGCATGAAGGATAT